AGGAGCCTGAAGGGGGGCTCAAGCCCTGGACCCTGGGATCATGGCCTGAGCCAAAGGCAGCTGCTTAATGACAGAGCCACCCAGATGTCCCAATCCTAGTCTCTTCATTGCCAATAGCCAATACTTAAGTCAACCTGAAATTTGGTTTTCTTGTCTCTAAAATTAAAGGAAAACTTACAGTTGATCCTTCAACAACACAAGGGCTGGGGTGCTGACAACCCCCTCCCCATGGTCAAAAACCCACATAGAACTATATCCACATCCACTAAATCCACTAAATACACATATAACTCCCCCCAAAACTTTAATAGCTTACTGTTGACCAAAAGCCTTAATGATAATAAAGTCAATTAATACATATTTTATATACTGTATACTGTATTCTTATAATAAACTAAGCTAGAGAAAAGAAAATGTTAAGAAAATCATAAAAGAGAACACACTTAAAGTTTCATACCATAAAAAATCCGCGTATAAGTGGACCCATGCAGTTCAAACCTGTGTTTGTTCAAGGGTCAGCTGTATACTTTCAGGACTTCTCTTACCTTGAAGATTCTACTTCAATGTGTACAACTCTAGCTTTGATATGCCAACAGCTAGTCATTAAACCAGGGTCATTTTCTCCTGAACAGCACCAGGGATTTTAGAAACCAGAGAGAAACTAATACATGCTTCTGCTCATGAGAAAAGGACAGGTTTGGATATTTGTAGATCTAACAACTTGGAGCCACAGAACTCTCTTTCAGCAGGCCACCACCTGCTTGGCCAGCATGCACTTCTCTTGGTCCCTTTTGGGCCTTTGGTGGGGTTTAGGTCAGAGCCCCAGGACAGAGGCATCGTGCCACTTGCTGGGTTCTGTTCTTGGTCTTGAGCTCTACCAGCTATGTGAACTTAGGCAAGTTACTTAACCTTGTCTCTAAACCTGTTTCATCTGCCAACTGGGGATGATAATAAAAGCACCAAGACTTGTTGGGGAATAAGAATTAAATGTGATAAGCCTATAAGGCACATTGGTGCTGGCAGACTAAGCACTCGGTACATGGAGCAATGAGTTTTGATTACAGATGCATGGTTATAGCAGCCATAGAACTCAGCATGAACCTGGAGAAAGTCCATGAAGTCACGATGCTGCCACAGCTGCCAGTCCTCTCCTCTTCCAGACTTATTCTTACTAATGCAACCTCACTTATTGACTTGAAGGAATGAATGAACATGCGGACTCCCTATATCTCTTTCCAGAAAGTCCAGATCACACAGCTCTGAAGATGGGACAGTAATGAAAGGAAGCATGTGACATGATCAATGCATTAAAGGGATCTTCTGCATGAAAAAGAAACTGGTAGTCGTGGCTGCCCTCCCAGGAGGTAGCTTCAAGTCAGGGACAGGAAACTGACTTTTCACTATATGCCTTTGTATCTTCTGAATTTCGAACCTCAAATATGTGTTACCTATATTAAAAAATATTTTTAACATGTCAATTTTTGAAAATTAAGAAGACACCTTGTAACTTAAAATCAAGTTTACACCTTCCCCTCATGAGAGCTGGGGAACTGAAAGCCCAGCCTCACTCGCCCTTCAAAGCATCTGAGTGCCAGTCACTGCTGTCTTGCCCACGCATGCCCCGAACTGGAGAGGTATGTGCAGAAGCCATGGGAGCTGGAAGAGAGGGAAGGTTCAGCATTATTTCACGTTTTTGACTGGTTTCTGCACAAAGGAACCAAAGGAATTTCTACTGTAGATTTAGAGCAGGCCTTTTGCTGTGATTCTGTTCTCCTGCCCCAGGAAGGCAAAGACCAGAATTAAAAGAAAGAACAGAGAGCAAAGAAAGTGCGCGCGCGCGCTCGTGTGTGTGTGTGTGTGTGTGTGTGTGTGTGTGTGTGTGTGTGTGTAGTCCAAAAAACCCATGCTGGCTCAGCTTTTCCACATTGTTTTCCCAAATATTTTTCTAATAAATAAATCTGAAAAAACAGCATACTTTTGAAAATTAAGACTGGCTTGGAAATAACTAAGGGTTGCATTTTATTTAAGCAAGTACAACAAAGGTATAGTAAGGTTAATTTTCCCTTTTACTCATCATTTCCCATCCCTGATGGAATTATGTGTGAATGTGTAAAGAGGATGGACCTGAAAAGAATTTTTCTTTTTTTTTAAGATTTTATTTATCTACGTGAGACAGAGCTAGAGCATGAACAGCGGAAGGGACAGAGGGAGAGGGAGTAGCAGACTGCCGTCTGAGCAGGAAGCCTGCTGGGGGCGGGGGTTGGGGGTGCGGGGGGGGGGGGGCTGATCCTTGGACTCCGAGATCATGACCTGAGCTGAAGACACCCAGGCGCCCCCCTGAAAAGAAATATCTTAAAGTTCTTTATAAAAGTAAGGTATCACATAGTAGCACATGACAAAATGCATCTTTGAAGAACAAACAACACTGTGTTAAAAACGCTTTGTGCTAAAAATATACTTGGAATTCTAAAATGTATAAATGTGAAGTGTAGCTATGATAAGATGGATGTATATAGAAATAAGCTGTACAAAGGCAGAAATACTGAAATATGCCATGCTCGAGTAGGTCCAAATCAGGCCTGTGACTTTAGGATGACCCCAGAAGAGATGAGCCACATTTAAGTTCCTGAAGCCCGTGGCACAGGCGATAGAACAGAACAAAGTAGCGCATCACCGCGAAGCCAGTTGGCAGCCGCTTGGCTTGTCCCACACAGGGCCGAACTGCTTCATTATTTTTGGTTCTAGACTAGAAAAACAGTGTGTTGGTTTCACAAGTCCTCATTTAAAAAAAAAAAAAAAAGTGTAGTTTAGGCACTCGGGAAACACTATTAGAAGGCATTGGAAGACACTGACGAGAACTGAGAAGTGTAGCTGCTGACGCGAAACGCTGTGCTTCCGGCAGGCCTGGCGCTCACGCACGTTTGAACACATGGCAGGAGTCGCTCTGCTTCATTTTCCCTATCAGATGACTGAGCATCGGAAGCCCTAGTCACAGCTGACAAGGGGGTGTAATCCCACGATTCAGGGCCGGTGGTTTCTACATCCGCTAAGTCCAGATTCTGGAGATTTTAGGAGAAACGAGCGCGCACGCAGGCACGGCCCGGGACTCTGCACGACACTGTCCTGCAGGACGGACCACGTGCGTGGCGGCCCGCTCATACCGGCTGCAGCCGTACAGTGTAAAGCTGAGTGGAGAGCTGGCGAACCGTGCTACTTTTAGCAGCGAAAGTTTGGGTTTCAGGGACACAGTGAAGGAGCAAGAATCCAGAGTTCCCACGCGCCTCGGGGAGCGGAGAGCGTGAGCCCCCCTTACCCCACCCCAAGCTCTCCCTCACGCCCTGCAAAGCCCAGGCGCGCATCAGCCATCCGGCGCCCGCCGTCTGCCGCCGGTACACCCTGTCTGATCCCACACTGATGCCATATGTTTCACACAAGCCTGAACCCCTCTCAGCCCCGGGCGGGGGGTGGGGTGGGGCAGAATCTTCACTAGGAACCCGGAGCAAAACGCGCAGCCAGAATCTGGTCGTCATGCCACTGTGAAGTCACTAAATGAAGCGACCCTGGGATGCCCTATGTCTGGGCTTCTTGTTTTGTGAGGGAACGAAATCTCCTTACTGTTTAAACCACTAGGGAGTGGGGAGACATCTGCGTTTTGTGACCCCAAGTAATGAGATGCAATCCTGTTCCTCCAAAATAACCTATTTTCTAGAGCAGTGCACACACACGAACGGATGCACACTCCCTCTTATAAACTAAACTCTGGTGTAAATACTAACATTCTCCTAAATTCATCTCCTGAAGTCAAGCTCCTCAGAGAACAGTGATTGCTCTTATTCCCTGTCCAGAATACCCTCCTCCCCAGCACTATCCGTTACTTCAAGGCCCAGTTCAAAATCTGCCTCCTCCATGAACAGTTTCTTATTTAATCCCTGCCTACATCTGTCTCTAATTCCAACATATGGCATTTACTGTCTCTAACTTTTTTACAGCTTGCCTGCTGATCCTTGTGTCTCCCTCTCAATGTCTACCACACTAAGCACACATTTGATTTACAGTGACTGAGTATAAAGCACCATCTTCCTTCACCTGAAACATGGGATTTTCCTTTCCTCTTTTCTTCCTTGTCTTCTTTCCTCATCTTACTTCTCTGTAGAAGAAAAGACAAAAATTTAGGTAAAAGAAATTCAGAGCTCAGACCCTGAAGGAAGGTAAGTCTTTCTAAAGAAAGCCGAAAATGGCATGGCCTACCTTCTGGGAGTTACAGATAAGGGAAAGAATTATGACATGGGGGAACAGCAGTTAGACACCACACCAATGACCTTCTGTTTTTGTACCTCCCTAACACTCTGACCAGGTCTCACTACTGAAAGTAGGGGAGGGAGCATCCTTAACAAATCAGAAGGTACAAGAGAAGATGCAGCAGAGTCCAGCTCATGGTAGGCGTTCAACAAATGTCTCAGGAGTGCATGAGAGAGGACAGATCATCTTATGACTAGAGTTTCAGACTTATACCTTAAAGCTTTTTATTATAAAAACAGAATGAAGTGTAAATACCACTAAGAACACTGCCATCTCAATGTAATGGACTTCATGTGAATGTGTTGACATAAAAATCTTTAATCTGATATAGACTTCAAGCTGTTTTGAAATGGAAAATAAAATCTTGGGTTGTTTTTGTTTTTACTTTAAAACTATTATGGCCGTTAGCTAAAACTCAAAGTAAGGGCCTATCTGCAGAAAGGCTTTGTCCATCATCACATGACCTGAGTCTCTGTAGCTGCTCTTCTATGAAACAGCTCTGGGGCCATCCTTCCCACAAGATGGCAGAAAGAGCATCTGCAGAGAACAAAACCTGGTGTAGAAATTGGCTTGCGTATCCTTGAGGGTTTGCAAATACAATATTAACTTTTACTTTTAACACATTCCAGATATATTAAAAATTTGTTGTAACTTTCATGAGGTTCATTCATTCAAACAGACACTAAGAACTTCTGCAAGATCTTTTATATTACACAATAGAGTAAAAACTGTAGTAAAAGTTCAGATAGTTAAATGAGCACCAAACACTACAAAGTGTAACCAACATGGTTCTATTAAAAACGCTCTTCAACTATGCCATTCAAGGACAGCAATACAATACTTTCTTTACAAAGCAACTAATATAAAAATCTGCAAATGCCATAAATTCATTTATAGGCTCTTATTTTCATATAAGCATGTCATTAGATTCTTTTGATTCTTTCTTTCCTTCAATTCTTTCCTGAGGTATTTTTTTGTGTTTGCTTTTATTGTACTGCTGGATGCATTATCTTTGATCATCCTTTCCTAAAATGATTTTTAAAGACCTGCAAAAAATTTTATTGCATAGGACACTATTCATGACAGAGGTTGGGAACTGCAAATATGTGGCATTGGAGTAAGTCTTACAAATATTGCATTTTAAGAATCTGTTACATACTTTTTTTTTTTTTTACAGCTTGTCTCTTTAAAAAAAAAAATTGAAGTTACAGCTAAGAGTTAACTACGTACAGTGAAGCATTTTAGGAATGTCAGAGGTTAGAGAATACAATGAATGATACAAAGGAAAAAAGCCATAATTCTTGCTGGCTATATATTGTATTGCCTTCAAAAGCAACTGTACATGTTGTAATCAGTTCATAGTTAAATATTTCTACTAATCTGTTTTAGGAGAGCAAATGTCTTTCAAAGTTTCAAGTTCCTCTATGAGCTTCTTGTTCTGAACTTCCAGCACTGCAACTCGACTCTCCAGACATTTTACATATTCTTTCTTTCGACGTCGACATTCTTTAGCAGCTTCCCTGAAAAAAAGTAGAAGCAAAAGGGCAAACAAAACATTTTTTTTTTGCATGCTATGGACAAGCAGACTGAAGTAAGCTTGGTAAATGTGATCATGGCTACATTCCAAATCTTGGAACAGGGTTCCCAATTCAATGTCAAACACTAAGCCAAACTGGATTTTTAAGGGTCACAAGTGTCCCTTCCACAAGTCCACATGGCAATTAGTAGAATTGCTGCATCTCCTGCCTTGATTAGAGTTCATAATAAACAAGGTCCAAGTCAAAGACAGTTACTCTGCTTTATGGCAATAAAGATCTTTGAGGGCCTTGAGTTCCTCAATGAGAGTCTTGTTTTGGTTTTCAAGCACAGCCACACGATTTTCAAGACATTTGACATATTCTTTCTTCTTCCTGCGACACTCCCGGGCAGCTTCCCTGGAACCAACACAAAGCAAATGACTACAGGAACAACCTCCCAGCACGATCCAGACTGGTTCAAATGAACTTCTGTCCCCCAAACTCAAAGACCAATCAATCCTAGGCAAGGTTTGTACAAAGCCACACAACGAATGTAACCAAGCACATGCCTTTTGTAAGAATACTTTCAAACAACAGGAATGACTTGAGAGCACGATCAATGTGTCCATCATTCATTGTAAATGCTGTTTTCTTAGGGCACACATTCTGTGATAACAGTGACCAGAATGATTTTCAGTAACCTAAAACAATAGGACCACATCCCCAAGTGGAATTTCTACAAAAACATTTACAGATCTTTTCAATTCTCTTGAGTATTTTTGTCCACCAAAAGCCACATATTCCATCACAATGAGTTAACTTTATTTTGGTCAGAAATATTGGAAAAATTAATCCTCAGAAATTTGAAATGTCAATATTGGAGATTTTGTTTCTTCAAGACTGAATCTCATCGGTAAAACAAATAAGCTTGACCATGACTGCAAGAAGCAGTTTATTGGCTAGAAAACAACATGGATAAAGACAACGGTAAGCAAGTCACATACATTTTCATAAACCATAATGAAATGGACTCCGCTTCTGAAAATTAAGGAAGGGAAGAAGGGATAGCACAGAATCCAGCACTCAATAATTCAGACACTTTAAATCCACGAAGTGACAGCACCAATATTAAAACCTCGGAAAGGAAGCTACTATAACCCAAAACTCTATGTCAAGACTGTTTTTGAATCACATGCATTTACTACCCAATCTATGGATCTTTAAAGCGCTGTAGGCATGCCCAAAAGAAGGAACAGACCAGCCAAAGCAACAAACACAAATACACAGATGAGTTAGTCATTCTCATGCATAACCCCACCAAAAAATAATAAATAGAGCCAACATTTTTCTCTTTTTCCTTTTTGTCAGGGTGGGAAGGGGTGGCAACTATATCCTTTAACTCCTCTGTAGAATATACCCTCTGGTAACAGTGTTCTTTTGAAGGAGTCAACTGAAAATAACTGCTTTGGGGTACACTTCAGATCAAAAAAGCCTATGTTGAAAGAGATAACTCAAACATATATTAACAGGAGTTGTGTTGGATGTCTAAACACCAGTTACTATAATTCTAGCTAGCACTGCTGCAATTCTGAACCAGGAGTGATGTGTACAACAGATTTGGCCAATTCTGTTTTATTTTTAGGATAGTTGACTCACTAACAACTGGTTATCTGTTTTTTCTCCGTGGGGCCAAGTGTCAGCAGAAAAAAGACCTTGAAATCCCAGTGAGCTGCAGGAAAAAAACCAACCCCAACTTCCTAGCCAAGAGCAATGCACTCACCCTGTGAACTCACCAAGTTCTCAGGCTTCTCAACTAGTTAACGAGAAAATTTTAAAAATGTAAGAAGTAAACTGAATCTGACAAATACAGATTGATTTAATCTCAATGATGCATAGGGAAAAACTGAGAACAAATCCAACCACACATAAAATTTGCAACTCTGCTTTCCACAAAGGAACTAAAATACATTTATGAATACCAACGTTTTCATGGATTGAATCATTATATTAAATTCTAGATCTGGAAGGAAGATAATCACTCTACAAAACATGTTATCATTAAATGAAATTTTACATATAGCAGTGCTTGATATTTTTTAATTTCTTTACCAAGGTGTACTATCTATTGTAAATATAATTCATATCTTATGTGGGAACGGTGCAGGTTACCAGTCAAAATGTTCCAAGCACCAAGCTTTAAATGATCGCACCAGTAGATGGTACATTCCCAAGTACTTCCCAGCTATGGAAAACACCTGTTTCTTCTATTAATAGCTAGCTCAGTTTTTAGGCCTTGCGTTTGTCTGGATATATCCTCAGCATGGAGAGGAAGTACATGGCAAAGAGGAAATGCTGACAAGGCTGTAAAGAAATATAAACTGTGGCTGGACTGGGAGAAATATCTATGAGATCTGTCATAAATGCCAGCCAAAGAATAAAAAGAGAATGCATGAGAGGTCTTTCACGTTAATAAGTAAAACCTACATACTCTCCATGAAGTGAAATCTGCAGCTTACTCTGAGGTCTCTTTGAGGTGACTCTGGAGTAGTGCAGCGGGCAGGCTCTGGAAGAAAGACTGCCTGATTGCACATCCAGGTTCTGTCCAGTGTGGGCTGCATGATCTTAACCAGTTCACTATTTAACCACTCTGAGCCTCAGTCCCTCATCTGGAAAGTAAGGATAATAACCAGACCTGGTTTCATGTGCAAGTTATGTGAGAGTTAAAGAAATGGTAGAAACAAAGCACTTACAACCTGCAAATGGTACTTGCTCTGCTGAGCCTCCTGTTAGCCATTTATCATCGGCTCTTCCCTTGTCCTGCACTTAGACTGAGATCTGGAAAGCTAAGATAGACCCTTCGCAGAATTCCTTGCAGCTAGGGATTCTATTAGCTATTTCTATTTCTAGAAAATGCGGGTGAAAGATGCTGTAAGGACCTCCCAGAAGTTTTCAGAAGATCCAGAAGCTCTGGACCTTCTCCCTTCTTCCTGCCTGTTGTGATCCTAAGAATAAATGTCACCTGCTGAAGCTGACAAGGCAGGGAGGAGAAGCCTAGATCCTTGATGACACTGCTGAGCCTTTGTTCTGGCTGCACATACCTCTGGGCCAGTCACATAAGATCAAAATAACACCTGTGAGGTGAAGGCTCCATTTCCCTGTGTTATTTACAGCTCAAACACAAACACTACCCAATAGCTGTTATTAGCGAATTATTTTTTTAAAATGTAAAATTTCATGACTGTTTTCCTCAGGGAAATTTCTTATTTATGTGTAGGTAGCTGTGGGGCACTTTTAGAGGAACCCACTTGCCCAGTATTTCACTATTTCATTGATAGTTCCACTGACATTTTTTTTTTTAAATCTAAAAAACAAAAGGGAAATAAGAATGCTACTTTCTAGGTCTTTTTATTTTCTTTAGGAAAATAAGACATCAATGAACAATTTTACAGTTTGCATTATTACTATACTTTATACTATTAAACTGAATTCTGTGACCATAGAAGCAAATGTTTTCATAGCTCCCTAAGATCTCAGAAAGGACAGTTTTAAAATATCCATATTCCTCCACCAGATCTAAGTTAGAGATCTTTGATAGCAAGACTTCCATAGAACAACTATGTGTGATACTTCATTCAGCCCCTTCAGGATTTCTGAATAAAATGCTGACAATGAAAAATAGGAACCCAGCATGACTTAGTCAATCTGGAACAATCACTGATAAAGATGTGCGTGTCTTAAATGATCTTAGTTTGGGTAATCTGTTATATTTTCTAGGGTACAAAACTCCATCTAGTGATCTGTGATAACTATGATGTTTGGGAACTAAAGCCAACTTAAGGAGTCCTGTATTGTATAAAAATGTGACCTTTATTTACTTAATATTTTATTTATTTATTTGATAGAGAGAGCAAACAAACAGGGGGAGGGTCAAAGGGAAAAGCAGACTCCCCGCTGAGCAGAAAGCCCGATCAGGACCCGATCCCTGGATCCTGGGATGATGACCTGAGCAGAAGGCAGATGCTTAACTGACTGAGCCACCCGGATGCCCTCAAAATATGACATTTAAAGGGATGTTAATAAGCTGAATATAGCTGCTACTGATTCACATTCAGTTACAAAGGACTGTTACAAAGTCAGTACTTATTTCTGAATTGTAGTGGCTCGAAAGTCACAATTTCTAGACTAACTAGCTTGCTAATGCCTACTAACAAACCATCACCACATGGTCCTGGTCAGAGGTGAGCACATGATGTCATCTGAAATGTATTGTTTTCTTACAATGAGGATATGATTTAACACTTAGGAATAAGGTGACCAAATGACTTGGAGAACTCTTAGACTATTCTGTTCATTTTGAAAATCAGATTAATTTGTACCATTTTCCATCATAAAAACTAACCCAAGAAATAATATACAAGTCAAATTAAAGAATTTTGGAAAACAGCATTTTTATGACATACTCCTATTTAAAAAATAAAATTACAGCAACATGGTACAAGAGTAAGTGAGAAAATGAGAGTGTGAACTGAAGGTACATATGTTATAATATTAGTAGGTATCTCTAAGTGATGGGGCTCTGAGTAATTTTGTTTCTTTCTTTGCTTTGTATTTGCACTTGACCAAAATTTATCAGACTTAATATGTATTTCAGTATTATAGAAAAAAAGTTACAAAATAGATAAAAGGAAACTACATACAAAAGGCTTAGAAAATTCTATTTATTTATTTATGTAAACTCTACCCCCAAAACAGGGATTGAACCCATAACCCCAAGATCAAGAGTTGCATGTTCTACTGACTAAGTAGAACCAGGTGCCCCTAAGAGGCTTAGCAATTCTTTACTCACACTTAATTTTGCTCATAAAGAAGCAAAGAAATTACACTTATCACCTATTTCACAAAGTAAATACCAAGTAAAAAATAAATCTTTATTTGTAATAAAGCCCTTGCATCATCATTAAGAAAATTAATGTATCTTTTAGACATTACCGTTACCACACGTAGGGATGTGCCACCTGCTGATGAAATGGCACTCTGATGACAAGACAATCTAATTATGGTCACATGCAGAGCACAAACCCCAAAATGCCACAGAACATGTAACTTGGGAGAAATGACTCAGGAAAAGCAATTTTTTTAAAAGCCCCACAGCAATAAGTTGTGTGTCCAATAGGTGGTTACTGGTTTCCGGTGAAACATCCTACCTGTTTTTCATTAGCCTCAGCTCTCGTTTGCGTGTTGCTTCTTCGGCTAGTTGCTGGGGACTGTGCAAGCTTCCTGGCGAGGCAGCCATCACTACTCCCTGTGGCAAAGCAGTAGTAGGAGCTCGGATCTGGTAAGTCGGCATGTCACCAGTGGCGGCTGCAACGAAACAAAATATGACAAGTTTATATAAACAATTTACAACTTGATCTTTTATATAAAACTGACCTGGAAATAACATACTTCTTTCTATATGTCATAAGAAGTGAACTTGCTAATATTTAAGATGATTATTTTGAGCATTAAAGTCTTAGGTATCAAGGATCTTCAGCATTTGGAACAATAATATTCAGCATGCTCTATACAGTTAAGGTAGAAAAATGCCCCCACACATTTTAGAAAGGTTTTTACCAAAGGCTAAATTAGGGAGACTTTTCAACTGCTCTCTGGGGAAAAAAGCCCTGATGTGTTTATCAATTCACATGATATAAATACTTTCACGGTGGCCAATTTCAAGCTACCAGTGTGACCTCTTGGAAGGTGGAGATGAGAAGACATACACAGTAAGTAGGACACCATACAGATAAAAGAGATGTAAATAACCTCAAGAGCATAGATAAAATTATGAGAAGTGATGAGTTTTGAGTATTTATAGTTTTTAACATAATCTATTTGTTAAATATATTATGTATTTCTTTATATATATTTAATTTTTAACAATGGCTCTTTTTACACCAGCTCACAAAACCCCTGAAAATTTAATAATCACTCTTGCATACCGGTGGGAGCTGGCTCTAGCATACCACTGCAAAAATGTTAATTAAGCAGAACATCTCCATTCTCTGAATATTCCAGATAAGAGATTTTCCTGTCCCCTATACCGTGCCTGAGACAGTTACTGGATATCTGTAAATATAAGTCCTACTACCAGAAGATGACTGAGGCTCGCTGTCTTTTCAGTTTAAAAACCAAAACAAAATAAAGAACAAAACAGCAAAGCTCTATTTAAATCTAATTTCTCTGGGGGATGATCATTTTTGTCTTAAGTAGGTTTCTTGAGATAATGATACATTTCTAAGTATTCATTTAAAAAACTTTTCTAATTATAGTGCAATCATAGTTAAACGACAGACTTAATATTCACTTAGTATTCAAACTGAATACTAAAAGTCCTCCAAGTTTCCTAATTTATACTCAACATTTGCCTTTCTACTCTAATGAACATAGCTTCCTAGAAGAGACAGATGGATTTAAGTGATGAAATGTTTCTACCACCACTGTTTCAACTTTGAGAATGTATGGTCCAGAGTTAATCTGACACTCTAAGAGATTACAAAATTCATGCTGTCTCAAAGCTAACTACAAGATAAAGGTTTTAAAAAAGTTACCAAATCCTACAAAAATCGGTCTGAACCAATGCCAATCAAAATAGAAAACACATCACTTCCATATTTCATTAAAATGCATTATAACCATTGAGTAAGAACTGAAATTTTACCCAAAAGGGACACAAAGACTTTTTTTTTTTTTTAACAAATTAAAATACCTATGCAGTTTAAAAGATCAATCAAAAACTGATCTAGGTGCTCCTTTTTGGGTAAATGCCAGGGTTTTTTTTCCCCCTAGAGCTTAAGAATTAGGTGAAAATATTTTTTAGACTTTCAAAAAAGAGCTTTGGGGGAAGATCACTTAAAGGTCTTCATAACATTAACAAAAATACCACTTATAAGGATGCACTTCTCCTTCCTTCTACATATAATCTTAAAAACAATGGTGACAAATAGTAACTGATAAGTACAAAGATCACCAGCAAAATCTCTATCAATAATAAAATTGGGGAAAATCCTAAATTTTTGTGACTATTTAAAATTCCGTATACACAGTTATCTCATTGTATATCATAGAGTATCTCAGCTTTGAAATATTTAAGAAGATAATTTTAAAAACAGTTTTAACTGTTAACTGACTCAAGATTTTTCTATTTTAATCATATTGTCAGGGGAGGTAGACTGGAACACAGAATAACATAGTTCTCTCCTCTCTCCTCTTTACCCACATCCAGGGAAGAAGGTTATGGGACAATAAAGGTTGACACAATGGAACAGCTAGAGGCTACACAGGCTTTCTAAAACTGGAACAATAGCCAGTGACGAATGAGAAGTTTATGAGATGTTTATGTGTCATTGTGTTGACATTCGCAGGGGGCATGGGTACAGACCTTGGTCTAGGGCTTTTCTTTTGCAAACTCTGGTTACAGAGAAGTGCAATAAAATTAATAGAGGGGTTCATTATACTTTCTCTCTCCCTCTCCTTTTGTATGCATCTGCTATTTTCTGTCTATAAAGTTAGAGCAGAATTCTCATATGATATGTAAAAGTTAGTTTAAGAGTATTCATTCTTTTTTTAAAGAGGAAAAAAAGGGGGGTGGGTATACTTCATAGATGAAAACTGAAGTTCATTCATTGGTCTTACAAGCAGAAATGGTTCTAAACTTTTGCCTGTTTCCAAAAGCTGAAACCACCTTCAAAGGACCAAATTTGGCAATTCAATAGAAGCAATTCAAAAGAAGTATTCTTAAAACATTCTGAGTAACAGCTCAGGAAAAAGATATCACTTTAAAATGATAACTTGGAAGGGGATGATATATTTAGATATATTAGTTCTGGGACATTAGCTAATAAATAGGGTTTTATTGCAATGTTTCAGATATACTACATATTTATCTCCAACAAAAATCAGGTTGCAGGTCATTAGTTCAAGACAGAAATATGAATTGGCATTAATTAGTAGGAGTTAATACACATTTTTGTAATATCCTAAGGAATCTATATGATGGTACACTTTAAGTGGTCACAGAGTAAATGTCAATGGATAAATTCCATATACTCAAATAGGATCTTATCAGTAAATACACTAAAAAGATATGGGCAAAGAGAATCTCTTGTTTTGAGAAAATCCAAATGTCAAAAAGTTTTGTTGCTGAAAGAAGTGATAAAAAAAATTTGTATCTTGGTTAGCTTCAGTTTCTAATGTTACCAATTCAGTGGCAATTAAAAGCAGATTCAATACCTAGAATCACAGTTCAAAGAACCACCTTACAGTCTTTGATGACCTATTCTTATCTCTGTACATCTATAAAGGCCAGTTCCTATTCTAACTACTAAATATGTGTCCACGTTATTTATTCTAGAATTTCACTGTATACATTATTTCTGAAAATAAATGAGTCACCAGTGGGGCTATCATTTTGTGACTGAAGAAAGATAATACATAAAAGATACTTCTATACTAATTTTATTCTAAGGCAGCAAAAACTTTAAAGACAAGCCAGGGGTGTCTTTTTTAGCTGGTATTCCCTATAACCTAGCACAGTGTCTGGCATATCATGGGTGCTCAGTGGGTTTACACGCACACCACAAAGGAAATTTTGAACTTCCCAGGGTTTTGTCATTTGAATGTTTAAAATAAGCAGTATTATTATTGTAAGACTATTGTTAGCTATTGTTATAGCTAAGTCTTTAAGTCTTTAATACTAAGGCATGAGAAGCCCTTATAAGATGCTATGTATTTATTCAAACTGGCATTATTTCCTAATCTTCCTTTACATAGGAGTCATTTCACCTGGCATTTGAGAAGCAGGCGAGTTCTAATTAGTGTTTCCCACTATCTACCTACTGACAGGAAAATTTTTTTCAGTTTAGCATCAAATATTTCATGGAAAAAGAAAATTCCTAGAACTCTCAATTCTGGTCATTAGGCTTCATACCTCTCTTCGCAAGCTTTAAACACGGTACAGTAGAAAAAGCATGGGATCTGGAGTCTGGATTCTAGTCCAGCTCTGCCACTTACCAGCCATGTGACTTGGGGCAAGTTCAGTTTCCTCATCTGTAAAATGGGGATACATTATCTCATTTAATACTCACAATAAACCCTGTAATGTATGTCAAAGTGTCTAGCACAGTGCCTGGCACATGGTAGGCATTCAGCAAATGTTAGTTCCCTTCCTCTTCCCTTCCTTAAGTTCTGAAAGACAATGTTCCAAATTATGCTTATACTGTATATTAGTTAAAAGGCATATAACATCCATAAAAATATTTTCCCCTGGAGTTTCCCTTCTAACAAACCTGGGTAAGAGAATGATTGAAACATATGTCTCTTATTCCTTATTTTTTAAAAAAAAATATGCCTATTAAAAATGTATAAAATTTATACAATATTTTATTATATTCCTTTAGAGAATAAATTATTAGAAGATAATAAAAGTCCTTTTCAATGTTTATAATCATTTAGAATAGAACCTCAAAGGTGGAGAATCACAAGTAACCATATTATAGTCTCATCAGACTGCTAATAAGAAAACTAACTGAAAAGCCTCACAAGTCAAAGAGGTATTTGTTTCTTCCTAACAAAGAAAGAAATAAGAAACTCAGCCAAATGCCTATCTTGATAGTTTTCAAAGTGGAACAACTTATCCACATCTCAAATAATGGTGATTTTGTTTGTTTATTCATCTACTGATTGATATCCCTGTAGTACTGAGCACATTAACTGAATAAAAACATTTTTATAAATGGAGCTCCTACCTTCATATGTCATTTTGCTATGTGTCCCTTGTCCCAAATCTACCTAAGTAACAAGCAACAGAGCTAACTTTGAAGTTGTACTGATAAGCAGGGACTTCTTTTCCCTAGCTCCAAGAAGCTATGGACATCTTTACTTTTCTTTTTTCCTTCTCTCCCTCCCATCCACCGCGCCAGGGCACACAATGCCTAAATCAGCCTTGTCCTTGCCTGGTGTCTCACAGTGTCAAAACCTTTCCCTTCTCCACTGCTCTATTTTTTCCAGGAAAACTAAATCCTGATTAACTGACTATTTAAGCACAGTTTCAAATTTGTTACAATAATTATAATACTCAGACCACAAAGAATTAAATCATTAACTATTTTTACTTTAAGTTACATATAAGGGAACTTCCTGAGTTGTTTAGTGAAAATCTTAAGAGTCAAAAAAAAAAAAAATCTATGTAAAAGATAATAAATTATAAGTATTGACATGAAAAGTTCTGTATATTATCAAATATATACTCTATTGCCCTGTGAGAGTAATAATATTCTAGGAAAAAAATCCATTTTTACTATTTAAAATGATGCTAGCTTTATTTTGTATGTTTTCTGAGTAGTGTGTAGTATGCTGTGGTAACTCACCTAAAATTAGCATGAATTTATCAGGTGAATTTTGAGGAGCAATGTAATATGGTGTGAACAGAACCAGACAAGGTCTGGTCTTAAAGTCTGAAGGTCCAAACTGGTTCACCACTTGTTAGCTTTGTGAGCTTGGAAGAGTTATTTACCACTCTGATACATGTTATTATATGAAAATATAATATCTGCTCTGAGCACATCAGTAAAAATACATGGAAACTGCTTCTCCTCATGGGTATTTAAATAGTTTCCTCAGGAAGGCCTACCCAGATCCTTTAACCTATATTACCTGTTTCCTGTAGGTCTCTCACCACCTGATTGTTTGATAGCACTGAACACATTTGTATTTGTATTTATATTGTAACACTGCAATTTTTTAAAAGCTTACATAAATTCAAAGTATCATAATTATTTTATTAGGCAATATATTCATATAGGCAAATAAAACTGGGCAGAGTGAAATAATCATCCCAAAAAATATTTCATCGAAATTTTTTCAAAAATATTGGGAATGTAGAACAATGGAAATTTCAGTAAAACTTCCATACAGATTCGGAGTTTTATTAAAACTTAAGGTAGATAAATGACTTTTTTCACTTCTACCATAATTATAACTTGCTTTGCTGGCAAGTTTAAGAAACTGTTTATACTTGATCCAAACCTTTCTTTTATGTGACAATTCCCCAAAAATAAGCTTTTCAAATGCCCTTCTTTCACAAGGTGAAATGTATTCTTATTCTCATGCATCAAATATTAACTAAGACACTATTTTCCAAATTTGAATGAGCTGGAATATTTATTTTTAATAATTCAGAAATTCAGGCTAAATACAATATATTAGAGTTTATAAGACTCAGAGACTAAAAGATACGGAGTGAGGCTCTTAATATAATCAGCTTATGAATAAAGAAAGCCAAAAACTACTTCTAACAAAAATTTAAACTATACCCACAAGTCTCAATAATACAATTTTATAAACTATAGCTATTCACTTTCCACATTTTATTCCATGATCCTATAAATAAATACCTAAAACTTTTCCCATACCAGTCATTGTTAGCCTGATTTTGGTCTAGGCAAGTTTTTCAAACTGTAAGTTTTAGACCATTAGTGGGTCATAAAATCAATCTCATTAGCAACAGAAAAAAATAGAAAAGCACATTATATCTCTACTATATTTAAAGATAAGCACTTCTAAAAAAGCAAACAAAGCAACCAAAAACACTGCAGGGCTTAAACTCATGACCCTTAGATCAAGACCTGAGCTGTGATCGAGTCAGAATTAACCGACTGAGCTACCCAGGCACCCGAAGATAAGCATTAGAGACAAACCAGAAGAGACTCCTAATCATAGGAAACAAAATGAGGGTTGCTGAAGGGGAGGGGAGTGAGGGGAAGAGGTAGCAGGGTGCTGGACATTAAGGAGGGTATGTGATGTAATGAGCACTGAGTATTACGTAAGACTGATGAATCAAGGACCTCTCCCTCTGAAACCAATAATAAGATATTTTATATGTTAATTTAAATAAAAATTAGAAAACTTGTTTTATGTACACACACACACACACACACACACAGAGGTATACAACATCATGACGTAAAACGTGGGTCATGATAAAAAATATGTGTAAGCCAAAGATCTACATCAGCCCATGTGGTTCACCAATCCATACAGTAGGTCCTCTACTATTACTTAAAAAAAAGTCTCTTAAACACTGTGCTCTTCCAGCTCCTCAAAACAAACAAAAGTTTTTCATTTTTAAACAGCATTTCAAAATAGAATTGGTTATTTCTGAAAACTGATCAGATTTCTAAAAATAATGATTTCCAAAACACAATGAGGTCTTGTGAAAAAAGTTTGATATTTTAAAATTTTAGCATTTCAAAAACTTTAAATTGGAAGTAACTCATGTATGGGTAAAACTGTGAAACAAAGCTCTTCAAGGACAGTGTATGTTCATTCCATACACATAAATGTATAAGAATGTTCACTTACAAGCAATGACTAAAAATATATACAAAGTTTTACTTTAAACTTTCATCTTTAAATATATTGTGAATTTTCAAATCTTTTATTTTTTTTATTTTTAATTTTCTCTCATGGTTAGACCTAAGAATTGGAATTAAAGTCTTAGTAAAGAAAGATATAAGCCAACTAATGATTTTTAGCAAACAAATATATGCACAAAATGCCTTTTGCTTCTAGAATCATATTGCAGTATTTAAGATTATTTTAAGGCCATCTGTAAACTTGTCATTTGAGAAAAATAATAGTGCATCAAGATAATTTTCAAAACGCTTTAATACAGGTTTTAGTTGCTCAGATCAGTGGAGTGTTTCCATCTAGGAAGAGGGTTTAGACCCACTGACTCTGAAAAGCTAAACTGTGGTGAAGCTGTTGACAATCATCTTCGTGATTTCAACTGCAAATTCAGAACTTGGTTAGAAATGAGACACCACCGAAAAAAACAACAATGCAACCCTAATACAGAACATTAGCAACTAGGTCAGGATCATTCTGTCATTAAGAAAACCAAACAACAGGATTACTGATCACAAATTTCAAGAACTGAGACTGGGTGGTGGAGGGGGTGGAGTGGGGTGGGACAACTTTCAGACAAGCACTTCCCAGACTGAGCGCTAGAGGGCACTCCCAGGCGCCAGTGGCCGAGAGCGAGCAAGGGTGCGGAAACCCTCCAGCTCCAGAGCCCACCTCTCCCCCAGCACGTGCGCGGCGGCCTCAGCAGGAGGCTCAACCTGCCCACGTAGGCGGAGGCGGGACGGACGGCCTCGGAGTTCTGCTCACCCAAGCATTACAGGTTTCACAAAGCGTTCCCCCTCGTCAAGCAGATACTTACCTCAAGAGAAACGCTAAAGTAAGGATTACGAGCAAAGCTATTCAGTGTTAAGAGCGATCTTGGAGATAGAGGCAGTGGCGAGCTAGTTAACAACTCTAAATCTGTCAGCAGCCCTTGACAAAGCAGAAAGGAACTGACTAAATCACAGCATGACTCGGAGCTGACGTCAATGTGCAGCTCGCTTGGAGTTTAACTTTTCCACTTCCCTGCTGAACACGATTCCAGGAAATGTAGTGACGTCAGCCCTTTGAACTCGATTAGCTGAGGTACAGACCATTTTAAACACAGGAGGAAAGAAACAAGTAGGCACGCAAACACAGCCGACACGCTGCGTTTTCCTAGTCTGTTTTGGAGCAACATTTGTACACAACAACGAAATCGGAAGCTTAATTTTTTACAAGTTGAACGGTATGTTTAACGGTATGTTTAACTTGTAGCTGCACTGAATTTGCAACAGGTTGCAACGAAGTAACAGCTTACTTTAGTAAAGCACAACGGAGAAAGAAAGGATTACTGCCTTGGTCAAAAAAGCAATCCGCTGAGCAAAAAGCATTTACACTAAGATGCCTTCACAGAGTGTGCTCAGTACATACAGATATATATTAAAAGAAATTTCTTACTCCTCAGCCACTGGAAAATTAATACTTTTTGAAACACTCAGAGGTCCCTAAATTTTTCTAAACTTCAAAATAAAATTTTCAGAATTAATTTAAATCTCTCTTTAAAATTCTTACCTGTTTCATCTCCAGTTACAGCCATGATGGGCTTCTGCATACAGAACTGTCTTGTCTCCCCTATCACAGGTTGACATACAGTGTTCCAAACTAGCAAGCATGTGAAGGATAAGTAGGAGTAACTTACATCACAATGACATCACTAGCCTATCACTACCATCAATTTGCTTTGTCACAGAGGAGCTCAATGAAACCAAAGCCCTATAAAAATCCTTCCTGTAATAAACCATATTAATGTTGTTGTACATAGAAATCTGTTGAGATGGGCTCTGGCAAAAAAAAGTCTCATTAGCATTAAGTTACAAGATTGTTTCTTATGGAGTAACTAACTTCTTTATTATTGTTCTGTCCAAGGTTTCTAGATAAACAAAGGGGGCGTAAACACTGTATCTTTTATAACTCCTAGAAGGAAAACAAAACAAAACACATGGAGATTAAAGCAATAACAAAGGGGCCCCTACTGGCTCAGTCATTAAGTTTCTGCCTTCTGCTCAAGTCAGGATCCCAGAGCCCTTGGGATAGAGCCCTTGCATTGGGCTCTCTGCTCTTGGGAAGCCTGCTTTCCCTTTCCCACTCCCTCTGCTTGTGTTCCCTTTCTTGCTGTCTCTCTGTCTCTGTCAAATAAATAAAGTATTTTAAAATAAGTAAATCAGACAAAAACCCTGACAATCAGCCCAGAAAAACATTGTGAAATACTCAGAAATGTATTTCTTAAACACTTCTAAATTCGTCAAGGAAGAAATAACCAGCCACCTTCTTACACTTAACAGTTTTATATGCTTAACTATTTGCTACAGCACCATAAAATCCAGCTGTTCCCAAGGTGAAACAGAATTTGCGAATTTCACTTGAATAAATACTGACATTAAAAAAATTCACTGTGCCAAATGTAGCAAGAACTATATAGCATTCTTCCATAAATATTAGTTTGAATCATAAGAATTTGATATTTGACCTTTTTGGCTCATAAAAAAACAGCAATTCCATGAGGCTCAGTCTAATACATTATTTTACTAAATTAAAAACCCTTGAAAAGAATTTGGGGATTTAAAAAAAATTCATAAATAAATCACAATTACTACTAGTAAATTTTTTAAATGTCAAATGGTATTTGGATCACTTAATGAAGAGTGCATGAAGAGCTAGATCACTATATGAAATTTAACAATGGTAAGGTTAGTTAAAAAAAAATTAGCTCATGTTCAACAGTATAAAAGACCATAGTCTGGAAAAAGAAATGATTTGCACATCTATCTAGTGTACAATAATAAGTCACATGGCACTGAAACATTTTATTGTTACCAGTGGGCTGAATAAGGCCCATTCCCTTATATGATTAGAATTCTACCTAACCTTAATATTAATGATGTTGATGTGCTTCTCCAGAGCACATGAATTGAAGACATCTGGCTATGTAAGAAAGTGTGGAGAGCAACCTAGACATCAGTCCCAAACAGAGGCTCCATGACAGACTCTCTTCCATCTCAGCCATACCTAAGGGTTTCATTTAATAAATGGTTTTATTAAACATCTATCATGCGCCAGGAACTGTGCCAGATACTAAGGATCTCTACCCAAACAGAAGTTATCTAGGCATGTCACACATACCCTAAGGAGGTACAGTAGGAACTGACAGGAGGTTATCTAAACCAGATCTGCAGGATCAGGGAAGGCTTCCTGGAGGAAGTACTAAGATGAAGCCTAAATAATGTAAATGACTGACATAAGTGTTCCTGTCAGGGCAAATAGCTTAGTGTGAGGCCCTAGAAAGGAAAAGAGGGTGCGGCATAGAACAGGAAATGAAATCTTGCACAGAGCTGCATTACAAAAGAGGGAGAAGTTGAGAGGAAAAGTCTAGTAAAGGTGGCAAGGCCTAGATCAAGCAAAGATTTGGGCCATGTTAAAGATTTTGGACTAAGGGACGCGTGGGTGGCTCAGTTGATTAAAAGTGTCTGCTTTCAGCTCAGGTCATGCCCCAGGGTCCTAGGCTCCTTGCCCAGCAGGGAGCCTGCTTCTACCTCTGCCTGCAGCTCCCTTTACTTGTACTCTCTCTCACTGCTCTCTCTGAAAAATGAGTAAGTAAAATCTTAAAAAAAAATTTGTTTTGGATTTTGCATAACAAGTAACAAGACTTCACTGAATAAGAGGCTGACACAGTTAGATGTGAATTTTAGAGATACCATTCTGAACTGCAGAATTGAGTATAACAGAAAAAAAGAAAATGTTGGAGGTAGAGACATTTGTTTTTAAGAAATATTAGTAGCTCCCAGGATTACTGGGAGGGATGAAAAAAGGGAGCCTGAGCTTTCAGGAACAATTCTCAAAAAACCAGACCAAGAAGAGATATGCCACCTCTGGCATGATTAGGAAGATCAGGGAACTTCTCCACCACTACCAGCTCCAGGGCAGCCACCCAGCAGAAGGGATGACCGGTTGGAGGGCATGACAGTAAGTAGGATTGGACAGCAGGAGTGGAGAGGAGTGGAAGGATGAGTGGTTTAGCTGGGAGGAAGGAGAGATGACACACAGGTTCTTAGCCTGAAGCAACAGGTTGGACAGGAGTCCATTACCAAAATAGGGTAAATAAAAAGAGAACTAGGGTGGGGGAAATGGATGTGACTTTGGACTGAAAGAGTCAAGAGATGTGTGTGGGACTTCTAAGCAGTTAGATGGGAGTCAGGGGCATGGTCAGAGTGCACTGACAACCAATGCGCAGGGATGAAGTCAGCCAGGGAGAGTGCGCCAGTCAGATGGAAGAGGGCCCAGGACACGATCTTGACAAACACCGACGAACAGTAAAGAGATGAGCAGAGGAAGATTAGACCAAACAAGGAGACTGAAAGACATGTAGGAGAGAGAAAAGAAAAAACTAGTAAGAACACAGTATCATGATGGGAAGCGAAGGAAGCAGAAGTCAACAGTGTTTAAATACTGCTGAGGGATCAATCAAGAGAAGGACTGAGAACTGGCAAAGAAATCCCGTGACCTGTGAATGGAATGACAGGAGGGAAGGTGACCGAGTAAGTGACACAAGAATGCCCATTGACCCTGTATTTAACATAGAAGTAGAACTCCTACCCACCATTATTTTAAGAAGAGGAGAAAAGGAAAGGAAAAGAAAAGGCAAGGAAAGAAAAATTAAAAGAAAACACAGGGAATCAAGATTGGAAGGGAAGAAACAAACACCTTACTTGTGTTTGATAAAACATCCACATACCAACACAGATAGATTTACAAAGAATGAGCACATTATTAGAAGTAAATTCAGTTTAGCAAGATTAATAAATAAAATACATTTTAACAAGTCAGTAATATTTCTCTACAACAGCAACAACTAGAAAATGTATTGCTCATAATAGCAACAAAAACCTTCAAGCATTTAGGAACTTAACAAAATATGAAGTACTTTCACAGGAAAAATTTTAAACTACTAAAAAGTTAAAATAAGATCCAAATAAATGAGACATTCTACAGTTTGGAACAGGTCAATTTAACATTATAAAGACCTCAGTTCTTCCTCACCCTTATACACGATTCGTAGGAATGTAAATTGGTGCAGCCACAATGGCAAACAACATGGAGGTTCCTCAATAAATTAAAAATAGAGATACCCAGAGTGCCAGGTGGCTCAGTGGGTTAAGCCTCTGCCTACGGCTCAGGTCATGATCTCAGGGTCCTGGGATTGAGCCCCGCATCGGGCTCTCTGCTCAGCGGGGAGCCTGCTTCCCCCCTCTCTCTGCCTGCCTCTCTACTTGTGATCTCTCTGTCAAATAAATAAATAAAATCTTAAAAAAAAACAAAACTACCCTATGATTCAGCAATCACACTACTGTATATTTATAAAACAAATAAACAAACAAAAACAAATACTAACTGAAAAGATAAACACATTCCCATATTCACAGCAGCATTATCTACAACAGCCAAGGTCTGGAATCAACTGGAGTGTCCACTGATAGGTGAATAGGTAAAGAAAATGCAGTGTGTGCACAAACACAAACACACAAATACACCTATTATTAGACTATAAAAAAGAAGGAAATCATGCCATTTGTGACAACATGGGTGGAACTTGAGGGCATTATGCTAAGTGAAGTGAGTCAGAGAAAAGACAAATACCATATGATTGCACTTACAAGTGGAATCTTCAACAACCACCACCCTGGGACCTGAGTGTGATACAGAGAACAGAGGAGTGGCTGCCAGAGATGGGGAGGCTGTGCTGACAGGGAGGGAATGTACAAAATGGGTGGTTATCAAAAGGAACAAACTTCCAGTTACAAACTAAGTCCTGGGGATGTGATGAGATACAGCACAGTGCCTGTAGTTAATACTGTGCTCTCTGTTTGAAAGTTGCTAAGAGAGTAAGTCTTAAAAGATCTCTCATAAGAAAAAACCAATCATCATAATGTGGTGGTGGATGTTAACGAGACTTACTGATTTATTGTGGTAATTACTTAGTGTGTAAATGAATATCAAATCATTATGTTGTACACTTGAAACTAATATAATTGCCATATGCCAGTTATACCTCAATTTAAAAAAGGACTTCCGTTTCCCCTAAATTAATCTATACATTAAAAGCAACCTCATTATTGGTTTTATTATTATATTGTTGTTATTTAGAAACTCAAATTTATTCTAAATGCATACTGACGAATAATGGTTCACCAAGCTATATCAGCACTGAAAGAATTTTTTTTTTTTTTTTAATAAAAAAGGGAAACTCGTCCTGTGAGATAACAAACCTATATGGTACTACTGGCATATAGAAAAGGAGACCAATATGGGGGCATTTGGATGGTACAGTCAGTTAAGTGTCCCTCTCTTGGTTTCAGCTCAGATCATGATCTCAGGGTCATGGGACTGAGCTCTGCGAGGGCCTCTGTGCTCAGCACAGAGTCTACTTAAAACTCTTTCTCCCTCTGCCCCTCCCTCCTACTCTCTTTCTCTCTAAAATAAATAAATCTTAAAAAAAGAAAAAAAAAGGAGACCAATAGTACAGAATAGAGAGTTTTGAGACAGATCCAAGTATACACGAGAATCCACTGTATAATTAAGATTTTTAGCCCCATAAATTAATGGGGAAAAGACAA